CTTCTCCAGCACCACAGCTCAAAAGCATCCACTCTCCTTCTGTCCTCCCTAGTCATTGTCCAACTCTCTGATGCATAACAAGTGATTGCAAAGACCATGGATGGCCTGTATCAGGCGCACCTTAGTCTCCAGAGAGACACTGTTGCTCCTGAGTACCTTTGAGAGGTCCCTAACAGCCAGGGATAGGTATTATCATTGCTGATGTCAGCAATTGATAATTGGATGAAAGCAGAGAATACCAGAAATAATGTTTACTTGTTTTTGGCTATGCAAAGGCATTTTACTTTTTGGATAATAACATATTATGTATAACATTGTGAAAAGTGGGAATTCTGGAACACTTAAATTGTGCTTATGTGAAACCTATAAAGGAGATGCTGCGTGATTTAAAATCAGGAAATGTATGCATTAGGATTATATCCTGCTCAATCTTGTTTTGGAGCAAATAATTTTACAAGATGGAATGATATATGAAGAAGAATGTGGCATCAAGTTTGGAAGAAGATTCTTAGACAATCTACATGCTGCAGATGACCGTGCTCACTTTCAGAGAGTGAAGAAAATTTGAAGTACTTCCAAGAAAGATCAAAGACTACAACCTTCAAAATGTATTACATCTCAAAATGAAGAAAACAAAACTCATCACTACTGGGCCAATGGAGAAAAGATTGAAGGTGCCAATGATTCTGTTTTGTCTGGTTCCACAATCAACTCCCATAGCAGCAGAAGTTAAAAAAAATAAAAGTACAACAATTAATGAATGGAAATCCAAGCTCTCTAAAACCCACCATCAAAATCTCAATTTTTTAAAAAAACCAGTGATTATAAAAACCACTTTTTTAAAAATTGAGGCTGATTCAACCCAACACTTTGTCTCAGCACTGTATTCTTTTGAATTCTTTACCGTACTTACGAAAGGGTAAAAAATGACTGTATTTTATTAATGTATTAAATTCTTTACGTATTAAAAATTAACTGTTCGCAATTTGAATAATAATAAGTTGAGAACCTTATGTTTGGACAATAGCAAAACTATGCTCAATATACTTAATACAATTGATTATTCACAAGTAGATTGAAACACTTTCCCATATTCTAAGTGTCCTGGTTGAGTTGGACTGCCATTCTTATCCTTAACACAAAAGTGAACCATTTTGTACCACGTGGTTACTCCTCGTGATCAGCATTAGTAGGAAAGAAATACACCCCAAAAGTACTGTACTTACACTATCGCGGATCTCCTCTTGGTCTCCACTGATTCCAGAACCTGACCCAGGTGGAATGCTGGGGCTGAAGGCCATGAGGTCGGTCTTGGGCGGCCCCTCCCCAGAGCACACCCTCTGCCTCCTCTGCTGGGAGCATGACCAGCTCCCCACCG